TGTATTACGCTGTACATTAATAATGATGATAGTTGAATTTATAGGCGATCAGAGAGAGCTCCCTTTAGAAGGCTGGTTTGCTACGATTGCTGACGTTGTATCGTGGATATCCGTTGCCGGTTGCTTTATTACAGTCGTTTACCAGGCGCAGGGAGAATTCGGCTCGTAAAGAAGCGTGTTCCGTATCTCGAAGTGATGACTAGTAAGAGCGGCAGTCTTGAATTGGCCCCCTCCTGCGGTGACTGATGGCGTTACGGTCGATTTTGGTCCAGCGCTGGGAAGAGTTTGGCGGTTTCCAATCAAGGTGATGCGATTTCTTGTACGAGAAGTTGGTGCTTGACAGGAACAACCTGTGGTCCCCGCAAAGTTGTAGCAAGCGATCTCCGTTATCCGTCCGGTTTGCTGGGATTGCATGTATTCCACCAAGAAGCTTTTCTGATTAGTCAATGGATCTCACCTGAGCATTGAAGTCTCCGGCGGCTACTACGACGTCCGTTGATCGAACACTTTAGAGCAAGTTGCTTGTAGAATTCATCCATGTTTCTCAGGCGCAATGCAATCGGTCGGTGATACGACGAATAAGCACCGTCGCTTCATTCTGTAGGTGTTGTCCCGTACTGAAACGTTGAGATGTACAGCACAGTCAGCTGCTGGCCGGAATCGAGTCAAGAAGCGAGTGCTCAGTCTTGGCACTTAGTGCAATCCCAACACCAGCAACGTCGCGAGGGTCGGATGTCGAATCGCCTGACACAGGGTGAAAAGTGAGGATGAGGTTGGGTCAGGAGAACGCAGCGGGATGATTGTCAGTTGTGTATGCATTAGAGTTTGATGGTCGGGTACTGCTATAGTGTCCAACAGCTGAGCAGGGGAACGATTAGTGTTCTCGTCCAAAGCCCTTAGTTCGGATAAGAATCTGACCGCAAGGATCGAAATGTACGTTGTTCACATAGTCCGCTTCACCACGATCGCGACAAGGTCCCTTACCCATTGAGAGTCTGGCTCTCTCTTTTGCCCCAACAGTCTCACACATCACTTAGAGAACAAACGGGGTTATGTAACATGTCTGATATTAGTCGACTGAATTGACGAGTCTAATTTGAAGCCAAATTCATGCTCTCCAGAAGCTGGTTTGGAGTGCCTAATTCCTTAGATTCATAGATAATGCAGGGAAGGTACACGTGTATAATGTCTTCTTTCATGAAGATCGCGAACCTTTACGTATTGGTGAAAGCTTTTTAAACTTGATGGGGTGTCGTCAAACAACCTGGTTTCTAGTTTTTTTTTTCTCACATTGTAATGTACATTTTTATTTTATAACCAAACACTGGTGTTGTTGTTTTCAGATTAAGATATAATTTATGTTCTATTCCCGATCAAATTTTGTTTTCCGTCCGAATTTAGCAGACAAACCAATTGGTCGTCTGGCAGTGAAAGGCATGCGCTATTTTTCACTCAGCCCTAATGCCAACATACCGACAATTGCGGTTTATGTTCCGACACAAAAGGTAAAGTTCGTATACGTTTGTTTAACTTTTATCCGTGTTCCCCTAAACAATATGTTTCATGATAGACTAATGAATGTGCTCCGCATCGCTGCCATACAAACCAGGTCTTCATACACGAATTATGTGGAACATAAATTGGGATAGAATTAAACGCAACATAATGGCTGGTTTACCTCCATGAGATGCGCAACTTTATTGGAGTATTTTAACAAGTTGCTAAGTCCTGACTATACTAACGCAACTTACTGCTTTGTGGTCAGTTTGAGTCACTTTGAGCAGTTTGTTTAACAGTATGAAAACCGTATCACATTACGGATAGGTCTTGATGAAGAGTAGAACGACTAGAGCATACGGTCAAAGAGAACTGTCGTTGATTGTACGAAGAAAAGAAGCGATTACCAATGACATTTTCTGTTCATGTTTGATTCATAATTAAATAAGACGTCAATTATGACACTACTTTACTATTGCTAATTTACTTTATTTCTCGTGTATCGAGCGGGAAATTCTGTTCAGTGGTTGCCCTTCCAATCTACGCTACACACATAGCACGTTTTCGCCTCGTTGTCGAACTATTTGTTTTCATTGTTTAGCGGTTACCGCTGACACGTTAGGTACCAACCAGCGGTCCCACAATATGCCGATATACGTCTTCAGATCACGTGTTCTCGTCCTCTTGAATAACGGGTCGCTAAGAGATCGCTCGACTTGCCAGACCCGTGAGATGTTCCATCAGCACGCTGCTCATTGCTGAGCGGGCAGCCAAAAAACAGCAACCAAAACTGGAGCATGAAAATGCATGGTTAATGGTTGTACAAACTGAATACCCTCTGGTTAAGCAGAGCTGAATACTACTAGGCGCGTCCCTGGGTTGTGGATAGGGAGATACCTTCGCCGAAGAAGGTAAGCTGTGAATTAGTTGTGGCATACCGCAACAAATAAGCAGTCACGAACAAACAGCGGCGGCACTACCAGGGTGTGGTGGGTTTCAAGCTGGTTACCAGGCTCCTGTTTAAAAGCCGCATAAGCCCAATGACGGTTTTGTGACAAAGGTCGACGTGACTGGCCTTTTAAAACTAAAGTCATTGACTCCCTACCTCGGAGGCGAGGGCTTACTTCCTGCTGCTTTGCAGTTCGCACTTGATTGTGCAAATAATAGAGGTGCGCCCTCAAAATAAAAAGGCCGAGTGACATTGGGGAAGTCTCTCGTACCAAACCCCCAAGGGACTCGATGATCTTGATCATGATCATGTCTGGAGCCGGCTTATCCTCTCAAAGGAGCCAGCCGCAGTAAAGTAAGTAAAACAATTACAAACTGAAGCTGAAGCTCATCGATGTGTTCTGAACATGCTTCCTCGGGATTTTCTGCTCGGTTGCAAGCACCCATTCCCCATATGCTCCGAGATATGGAATGGCTAATCACATAGGTTCTCAATGAAGTGCCTCTCTGAGCCTGGCAACAACCCAACTTTTGAAAACGTTCTGAAGTTGAACAGCAACGTTGACCACGTTACTGGTTTCAGAAAATAACCATTTGCTCATCTAGAAATACGGTAGTAGTGAACTTCCAAACATTTGAATCAGACCTTCAAAAACAAAAGATAAACTGAAGAAAGCCTTTCATATAGTAGGGTCAGATGCTTCTCTTAGGTCAAGTAAGTAAGTGATTATCCTTTTGCGAAGTGTGACAGTTCAAGCTCTCGGATGAAGTCTGTGCAACCTGAAACATCCGTAACCTGATGGAAATATCATTTCATGTTCACGTGAATTCATTCCACGCATTTCCAAACCACTTACTACCGCATACACCTGTCAAAGGAGCAGCAAAAGAGTTGATTGACTCTTCCAAAAAGATTTGCAGCATTATTAGAAATCACCCGTTGTATCGAATCTGAACGATACAGTGTAGTCATCATAATGATTTGCGCATGGATTTCTCGAGAAGAGCTCGTTCAAAAAATAGAAATGCCATCTGGGATTTTGTGCTGTGATCGTGGTAAGCTACGACTTGAGGCTCATGTGTTCGCCAAATGCCTGTGTCACATCACTGTTTTCTCATCGAAATCTATTTATATCGAACACGGAGATCATCTGTATTCAAATAAGAACGTGATAATATAAAAAGCCTCATTCGAAGTGATATAAATATCTGCAGGTAGTAGTTGATCTTAAACTCTTTTCACACTTGACCTCTGCACTGTACTACAGTTCACGCTTTATTCAACAAGCCATTGACGGAGGTAAATGCTATTCATGTGTCTTGGGAGCACAAAGCTCCATTGTTCTATCCTGACAAGGTAGCACGTGCTTGTCACGTGGAGTGCGTCTACTGTTGTCAAGATGTTAATTTCACTGTGGCACGCAACTGTTTTCGCATTTCCGATTTGTGCACCTCATTTGATCGCCGAAAACTACGTGAAACGAAAATCTGTACACTCCACCTACTTGCCCCTGCATTTCATTTGCGTTATCAGTGAGAACGCTCTTTACATATCCCATACACGCTTCCATTTTCTTCCGGTTTAGGAACAACCAGCCAACGTGCGACTGTTCCAGTTGCGCAACGGGCAATGCTCCGTGGTCACAAATAAGTCGTTTTATCGTGCGGACTCGGTTCAGTTAATATGGAACGATGCGGGCACCGATCTCCTCGTTCTGACGTCCACCAAGGTCAGTTTCTATTCGTAGAGTCTGTCTGCCTACCTGTGTGTGTGTGTGTGTGTGTGTGTGTGTGTGTGTGTGTGTGTGTGTGTGTGTGTGAAGGGGGATGATGGTCTATATCCTTTATTCTTTATTGTGCAGTTTTGAAATAAGTCCTGATTTGAAACTCCTTATCTTTCCTCAAATTAGGTCAGTGATGAGAGTTATTATGGCGAACAGGGTTTGCACTATCTGACGACCAAGCAGTCGAGGGACACCGCAAACGTGGTGATGCCCCGCAAAGGTCCGATTCATCAGGTTGTGTGGAAACCATCAACAGCGAGCGTTAAAGGGAAATCAATGGGCGGATCTTCAGCTACAGAAGAGTTATTTGTTGTGTGCTATGGATGTAAGTCTGTCAATCGAGTTGTAAACTGTCTCTTTATCAAATAGCCTTTGTGATGTCGTTTTGTTGTGTTCC